CAAATGTGCGAGCAGCGCTCGCGGGAACCTAACCCTGTCCGACCCCTAGGACGGTGGTTCTGTGCTCGCTAATGCGGTGTCGGCGGCACTTTATGGACAGAAGGACTGGGATGAAGGAGCCGGGGCCGTGTGCACACGTGCTGGACCATATACTATAACTGGAGGTCTTTTGCTCTGCAGGGCTCACCCCCAGTTGTGGGGGGACACATCCACACCCCGCCTATCACGGGGCTCTGAGACGGGATCCGCCTCCGGGTCCCCTAAGTCCCGCTGCTGTTTTGCCTTTCCCCTGCACCCCAACTCCTGACCCATTCCCACAACAGGAAAGCTTTGAGAAGGATGAGGGACTTCAGCCAGGAGAGGATGGGAAACTGCTTTTTCCATGCTCCTCCCCAACGCTGTTGCTTAGGTTTTTGATGTGTCTGTTACCGGAACCCTGCCTGTTGGTTAATTTTCTTGCCATCCTCTGGCAAGGGCAGTTGTTAATATGAGTAAGGACAGCAAATCCCAGCTCTCCTCTCCAACGGCGCTCTCTAGGTCTTTGGCCGTAGAGCTTGAGCCTGGGTTTGTCATGGTGCTTGCTGGGCTGGGGGTGAGGGAGTCGGTACCCTCATACCCTTTTTAGGGGAGAAACGGGCCAATGTGCAAGGCTGCTGCCATGATCCTTGCTGGTGTCAAGAGCGAGCACTGAACTGATAATCAGGGACCTGGGTTCCAGGCTGAAAGAGGGGTCTTGGGCAAGTCGCTTCTCTTCCGCTGGCCTCAGCTTCTAGTCTTTACCAGGATGCAACCCTCCCAGCTCCAGTGTTCTCAAGCACTCGGTCAGGGCTGGAGACAATGTGAAAAGGCATCACCAGACACCCCCCCCCCCGCCACTTTACCCTCCAGACCAATCCCCTCCCTTCACACCAGAACTTTTCTGGTGGGGCCCTTTGTGATTAGACCCTATAAACCCCACACACCTTTACAGGTGCTGCGGCCATCAAAACTCCACCCATTCTTCAAGGCCTGTTCAAATCCCACCTTTTCCAGGAAGTCAGCCCTGACTGACTTACCCAGAAAGGGCGTCTCCTCCTCTGAACTGTGCCTGCCATTTAAATATCTTTTTTTTTTTTTTTTAAAGATTTTAAGTAATCTCTACACCCAACGTGATGCCCGAACCTACAACCGCGAGATCGAGTCGCATACTACACCGACTGAGCCAGCCGGGCGCCCCTGTGCCTGCCATTTAGGTGAGACCTATCACACACAACCTGTTAACTGTGGGGTGCCTCTCCCCAACCACACCATGAGCTGGCCTAAGTTTTGTGCAATGTTACTTATTGTATTTTTTTTTTTTTTAGATTTTATTTATTTATTTGACAGAGAGAGACACGGTGAGAGAGGAACACAAGCAGGGGGAGTGGGAGAGGGAGAAGCAGGCTTCCCGCCGACCAGGGAGCCTGATGCGGGGCTCGATCCCAGGACCCTGAGATCATGACCTGAGCCGAAGGCAGACGCTTAACGACTGAGCCACCCAGCGCCCCTTACTTATTGTATTTAACTCACTTATCTGTCCTGATTTCCAGAAGCCTTTTGTGATGACTTACAAAGAATATAGACAGAGGAGCGCCTGGGTGGCTCAGTCAGTTAAGTGTCTGACTCTTGGTTTCAGCTCCGGTCATGATCTCAGGGTTGTGAGATCGAGCCCCGCGTCTGGCTCTATGCTTGAGATTGTCTCCCTCTCCTTCTGTTCCTACACGTCCCCCCCGCCCCGTCACTTGTGCATGTGCTCTCTCTCTCTCCCTAGAACAAAATAGATAAAATCTTAAAAATATAGATAGATTTACACACAGAGAGAGACAAAAGAAATAGGAATAAATATGCTGACCATGAGGCTCAGTGAATACCGTTCTAGATGGAATACTGCATTGTGCACCAAGCATTCTGGAAGCCAAGAAGAAAAGGTAACCATAATCACTCAGAAAGACAGTAGTGTGGGCGGCAAGGGGAGAATCAGGCAGTAGTGGGTAAAAATCCAGAGAGCCTTTGGGCAAATCAGTTGATCTCCTTGTGTTTCAATTTCTTTCTCTGAGAAAATGGGGGAAGAATGCTACCTAACTTATAGGGCGCACGAGGCAGCCCTGTGCACACAATGCATGTTTTCCTTCCCCACCTTCCTTCTCGTGGTCAAAAGTGTAGCAACCTCGTTTCCTGCAGGGGAAGCAAAGTTTGCCTGGCCTTAAATTGGAAGAGGAATTTTTCACGCAACACTCTGTTGGAAGCCTTGAGCAGAGGGGGCACTGCCCCCTGTTACAGTTCTAGAGCAAACCAGACGTGGATTGGCCATGGCTCTATTTAATAACATCCCCGGGTCCCCAGTAGAAGCTGGATAAACATCAACAGAACGAGCTATGGAGAAGCAATGCAAAGACTGCTTAGCTGCATCTGTGTCTGGCGGCAGGGGATCCTGTTAAGCTGGTTTCAGAATGGCTGTCTGCAAGGGGATTGATCTCATGTAAGCAAGGGTGATAAGTGACCAGCAAGCCCATGACTGCAGACTCTGACCACTGCTCCTGCCCAGCGCTAAAGCCTCAGGAATAAGATCCTTAGAGCCCTTCCATTGCAGAGCACACGGCCCATGGCATCTTTCTCAAAAGCAGCAAGGCAATGATCTTGAAGGACCAGAAGATTCCTCTTCTAATCTTTACATATAAGGGCACATTCTCCATGACTGGCTCTTCTCAGAGACCAAGTTGGAAAGACTTAACGGGATGGGACGGTTAGGAGAACATCTGCTTGGTTTTAAAATCGGCCTCAGAGAGGGAGAAAAGTTGGATCCCCCAAGAGAGAACGTACAAGAAGTCAACTTGGGGTGAGGACTCTTGGCGGCATCTGAGCTGACCCTTCGCCATTCACCCAACGTTTTCCTGAGAGCCTACCACAAGCCAGGCAGTGGGAATACAGAGAAAAGCATTCCAGCACCACTCCCCCAGACGCTCAGTCTAAGTGGGGATGTTGGGGGCCACCTGTAAACAGATTACTGCCATTCAACATGGTACATCAGGTCAGGATAACACAAAGGTAAAGGTGATCAACTTTCCCTGGGAAGGCCTGTGAGGACAAGCCTGGGTTCTGATAATAGATGGTTGATAAGAGAGAGGAGAGGAGGCAGAGCCCAGATCCTGAGGGCTCTGTACAGTGCAGAGGAATTTTCTTTCAGATTCCATAAGGAACAACCAAGACCAAGAGAAACCAAGTGTCTTAGTTAGGCGCACACAGATACTGTAGGACAGCCAGGCCTGGATCCTTGACCGGGGTAGTCCAGTTCTCTGGCCTACTTCCTCCCCGACACAGTGAGCTGTGGGAGGCCAGAGAGAAGGGCCATTCCACACTCACCACCCAGAGAACAGCAGAGTATGCACTGTCCTAGTCATTTGGCAAGTCACTCCCTACAAGAAAAACAGCCCTACCGAACCCACTGTGCTTCTTCCGCAAAGGGAGAGGTCTGGGAAATCTCTTGTGATCAGGACCCACAGACTCTTAAGAGAAGAAAAATAATTTAACTGCAAAAGTCCAGGAGCCAGATGAGCTGGGGCCCTGGAGGCAAGCTGGGAAGGGGGCTTCGACTCCATCTAGCCGTGGACTGTGCGCACGGTGCTGAGCCAGGGCGGGGGACTGGGGAATGACTCAAACTCCACGCCTCTCCTCCAGGAGCTCACAGGCCAGCAGGGGAGATAAAAGGCAGGCAGGCACAAAAAGTAACTGTAAAATAAGGCAGACAGCGATAAGAGCCACACAAGAGATATTAAAGTGCAGTGACACTTCTGAGCAGAGACAGTCACGCTGGGGGCCTGGGTGCTAGTTAAGGTCCAGAGGAAGGACAGGGCCCTATCCAGCAGCTCCAGTGACACCCAGGCGGGGGTGAGAGCCCGTAGTGGACCAAGAAAGATGCTCAAACGAGGTCTCCTTTGAAGATTCCCGATTCTGGAGAGGGGGAGGTGGGCAAGCCTGAGACTTTGCAGAATTGCCCCAGCCCCTATTTCAGAGGTAGGGAGAGGAGTGTAGGATGAGGAATCTAGAATTTCCATATAGGGGCAGCAGGTCCGCTGAAAGGGGACAGAGCTAGAGGACTTGCCTTGAAATGACATTTTCGTAGCAAGCACATTGTTTACTTAGAATGTCGATTTGGGGTTTCTTGGGGGGGTGGTATTTGCATCTTATGGGGGAGGAGCAAGTGGTCCCCTCTCCCCCAACCAGCCATCAGCTCTGCCCCTGATAAGAAAGGATGAGGGGGCCACTCCAAGAGAGCTGGTACCTCAGGTTACAACGGGAGAGGGAGACTCTCGGGATGGAGATGGGCCAGATTTTCCTCCAGCCAGAGGGGCACCTGGAGCACCTTCTTCTAAGTTCTGGCCCCTCTCGGAGGGCCACACCCCATGCTTAGGCCCCAGACAACCCACCCAGCCCCTGCCAGGGCTGGAGGGAGGTCCAGGGGCAGGCGGGGAACGGCGGAAGCCTGGACAGAGGGCTGTGCCCACCACTTCCTCCCGGCCCCCTCCTGGCCCTTCCCTCAAGAGCGCGGGCCGGACCGGACAGGCCCAGCACTGCACACACACCTGCCCCTTGACCGCGGTGACACTTGTCACTGGGGGAGGGGAGTCCTCCGCGCCCCGGCCGCAACCGACGGAAATTCGGAAATTAGCCTTTGGGGGCCGCCCCGACTCCGGAGGGCCGGCGAGTCCCCGGGGGCCGGGCTCCGGGGCGACTTCCTGAGGCAGGGGTCCCCGCGCGCGCCACACCCTCCTCCCCGCGCGGGGCGGCCGGGCCGGGTCTCCCACTTTCCCCTCCCTCCCTCCTTCCCTCCCGGGCGGGCGGGCCAGCGGGGGCCGGGGGGGGTGCCCTCCGGGGCCACCGCCCGGTCGGGGTCGCCGCCCCGCGCCCGGCTCTCCGGGGCCCGCCGCCAGCCCGGGGAGGGTCCCGGCCGCGCCGCCTTCCGGCCGCGCCGCGGACACACTCACCCCGCTCTGCGCGGCCGCGGTTCCGTCCTCTTCGGCCGCGCTGGGCCGCCGCCGCCTCACGCCGCCGGGGAGGCGCGGGCCCCGCGGCCCCGGCCCGGCCGGCTGCGCCCCGCGGCTCCGCGCGCCGCCGCCGCCAGCTGGCCCCGGGCGAGCGGCCGGGCCCCCGCGGGCATGCTCCCCGGCCGTCGGCGCGGGCGGCGGGCGCGCACGTGCTGGCCCCGCGGGTCTGGGCGCGGGGCGCGGGGCCGCGGCGGCCGAGGCGGACGAGGGGGCGGCGGCCGGCGGGGCGCGGGGCCGGGCGCGCCCGCGGACGGGCTGGACAGCTCTACGCCGCGGCGCCGCCGTGCCCCGCGCGCCCCAGCGGCCGCTGCTGCCCGTGCGCGCCGGGCCCGCCTCGCATTCCCCCACTCGGCGGCGGGCCTGCGCCTCCGTCAGGCCGCGCGGGGAGCGGCGGCGAGTCCCGGCGAGGGGCCGCCCCCGCCCGCCCCGAGGGCTGGGCTCCGCCGGAAGAAGCCCGGCAAACTTCGGGCCGACTCGCCGTCCCCCGCCGCGGCCTGGGCTCGCTGCCCCGCCGGGCCGGGGGCGGGGGGCGTTGACGGTCCTGGAGGAGCCGAGTGCACTCGCGGAAGGGGACGAGTAGGCTTGCGGGCACTGCCCCTCTTAAGTAGCTTTCTTAAAAACGAAGGTAAGCAGCAAGATGACCAATCTAGGGGAACAAACTGCATACGACTTCATGAGGCCCAAACCTGGATGCTGGCTACTTGTATCGGAGACCAGGTGTGCAGCTGACAGTTCTTTCCCCGGCCCCGAATCCATTCGCTCCGGGCTAAAGATGAAAATGCCCCTTGGAAATCAAAAGTAGCGGGAGTAGTAACAGCCGGAAGGGACGCGTGAAGCTCTAGTCCCCGACCTCGTAAAGGCACTGCAGAAGGATCAGAAAAAGCTTCATCTTGAGGTTTCCTCCCGATTGGACTCTCCAGACGTGAACAAGACGACCGAGAGGGCACTGGGTGAAACTTAAAATGGCCAAGTGTGTATTTGGATTGAGCAGGAATGGCCTTTTGTGCCAAGACCTGAAGTAATGGAATTAAATCGGGCACAGCTAAAACCTAGCTCACCTATCACCAAGTATCACTTCCTGTGGGTGAAAGGCGCACTCTCCCTGGAAGGGCAAGTGCTAAAATTAAAGCAGTCCCAGACTGTTCTGATAAAGTCAGAGAGAGGAAAACCACCAGAGGCTGCTCATCCCTGTGGTGATTGTCAGAATTGGAGAGGAAGCCAGGAAAGCCATCATTATGCAACTCTCAAATTACCTTACGCTCTTAGGACAATTGCTCTGAGACCAGTGAAGGTGTCCCAACAAATACAAAGCCCTCACCTTCCTCCCTCCACCAAGAGGTGCCTTAAGTCCCACTAAGAAAGGTTTTCGGAGCATACGGACATCTCCAGAGTCAGGCTCTTTGCCTGTCCACCAGCCCCAATTGAGGCCCTGGGTGATACCATCGTAACCTTGCCATGATTGCACTCAAAACTTGCAGGCCTTAAGCCCATCAAAAAGCAGATCTCACAATAACCCGGTAGGAATAAATACACGAATATCACAATGTAGTTCATATCCACAGATATTTATTGAGTGCCTGTATACAAGAATGAAGACATGAGGGTCCCTGCTCTGACAGAGCTTACAATTCCATGACTCCCATACTTGCCTAGAGTTAAAAACACCTGCAGCAAGCACTTGTCTTTGCCTATCAGCAGCACTGCAGGAAGCAAGTGTTTCACATTATATTTGGTCACTGTTACAGTGCAATGGTGAGTAAGACAATTATCTTTGAAGTCTGTAGTCACAGCGATGACATGGTATATCATGTCCAGCAAATGCAAATTTATGGCTTGATTCCTCCTATCTGAGAGGCATCTATTGAAATAAAACATAAATCGGAAGGAGAAAGCTTCTAAGGTCCTAAGAATACTGGTGTAGTTTAATCTATTATCAAACTGCCGCAGAACTCTTGGCAAAAAATTATCTCCTGCAGAATGTGTGCAATATAATTGGTTTAATCAGACCTGTACATCTCATGACCACACACACTCTCATGACGGGTAAACATGATTTACCTGTAGGATTCTTAAGGGGTGCTAGGTATGCACTTATTTTTTAAAGCTTCTTAAAGCCTCACAGCCCAAGTGGCACATTAAAATGTAATGAAAATTGCTTTTGAGATAAAAATTAGAATGACAAAAATGTCTAATTTTACTACATATTTAAGTGCAGAATTCAAATTTAAATAGCATTCAGCAAAGCACCTGGCTTTTCAGAGTTAAGGAGGGGAACACGGTTCGGTTGTACGTCAAACTCTAAAAACAATCCTCATCTTTATATATGGCTCTTCTGATGCCCAGTGCCGGCCTTCCTGCGGTCCTACCTTACAGGCCCCCACGGTGGAGGTCTAGTTATGGAACATTCAAAGGAGCCATTATTTTGCTTAAGTGGCCACCTTTTTTTTTTTTTTAAGGAAAATAGCCTATATTTACATCAAATAACCCATCACCTATTTAAGATGCTTCTGAACTTCTACCCAACAGGTTACCAGTTTTAATAGTCACGTAAAAAACAAACACCTCACACCAGGAAGAGGATCATTTGAACTCCAAATCTCATTTTTCTTGCAAAAAAGTGGAGAGATCATCTTAGACCACCTAACAGAAATGACAACCAACCCAAGGTCATTCTTAAGTCAATTGCTGGGGGCACAACCTACTTTTCTATTTAAAAAGTCCTAAATCACTACTTCAAACACCTCATTAACTCAGAATGAATCTGAAATGTGTACTTTTGTTGAAAAGTTACTAAGCACCAGGTACTTTACATAATCTCCTTTAAAATGGAAGGAAGCTTCTTATCGCTTCATCTTATCTCTTGCTGCCGAGGGGGGCAGGCCTGAGCCTGGTGATGACCCAGGTCTGCCTGGCTCTCCCTCCCCGGCCCAGCAGCTCTGCCCTTAGCCACCCCTTCGGCATCGGCGGGACAACATACTGTGCCTGGGGGCTCCTGAAAGGAGAGGAAGGGGGCAGAACCAAGGGAAAAGAGAGAGCAAACTCTATTTGCATTGAAATAATCCTAAAATGGAAGGTGCACTCAGGTTTACTCCCCAGCAGCTCAGCCCCAGCCGGACACGGAATAGTTCACCTCCCAGGGACACCGGCTACTTTCTAACATCGCCACCTTTGGGGTTGTTTTTAAGCTGAGCATTCTATGTTTGTAAATTAAGCACAAAAAAGGGAAAGATGGCTCAGAGGATTTTCCTTGGTTCTCCTCTTCAAAGCTATGAAGAAAAAGGTTTTTTTAATGTTTAAGTAAGTAACTGCTACTTCCAATCTATGATACGTTTCAAGAATCAAAGCGCGTGTCTTCTGAGAGGCACAGAAGAGGTTTTGATGGGGTTTCCGATCTTTCTTGGAATGAGCCAATAGAGACTACTAAGAAGATAACTCCTTCACAAGATAAAACTATCTCTTCTGAAATGGCAATTTCCTATTCTTGAGATGGACTTCGTGATAAATGGAGAGAACAATGAATATCCTAGTAATTTTCAAGTTAGATTTTAATGTCACATATAGGAACACAAAGGGAATACCGTCGGTAAAGTCAATCCCTTTACTAGGTCTTGACACAGCTGTACTGGAGCTTGATTAAAATTAACTTATTCTTTACTATAATTAGTTGACTTAAAAAAAAAAAAAGGCTAGAAAAAAATACTACGAATAAAGGCACTTATTTGGTTGCTGAATAATTGTGATTAGCCCAAGGTCTTCAACTGGTGGCAGGAGTCAGGAGCAAAGGTTCAACTCATGGATAGGAACACAAGAGTCAGGTGTCAGATGGCCCCTCCCTATGGAGGACCCCTCTCCCCCAGCAAAGCTGAGAAGGGAGCACCGCTGGGCAGCACACCTGGAGCTCAGCCAGGTAAGCTTTGGTGAAGGGTACTCAAAGATAGTTTGAGATCCCTGCTCAAAGGCATACACAGACCCTAGTGGAGTGATGGTTGGCTTGGCTCATTAGAACTACAAGCTACTAAGGGTCACATAAGAAGAAAAAGTTCAAAAGAAAACCAAACTTTAAAACCTGAGCTTTATCAGTGGGAATAAATATTGAAAGTTCAGAATGCGTCTATTTATGACCGTGTACAGGAATATGGGCACTGGATTCCGACCAGCCACCGAAAAGTGGGCAGTGGAACAGCCCAGACTTGACCAGCAGTCAGACCATATACCTGCTAGTGCTGCTGATCAGAGCACAGCCTCCTGCCCACGTGCCACTGCCAAGGCCGGGAGCTGGAGCCCTCCAGCATGGCCAAAGGCCCAACGCTCCATCTACACACATTCTGTGTCCATGCACAAGCAGGCGCGGGTGCTCTAATCTAAACCTAGCATTCTGACAGCCCCTGCTATGGCAGGAGGTTTTTTTGGCAGGGGAAGAGGAGCGCAGCAGGGTTAAATACATCTGCATGGTGACTGACGGCTGAAGCCATGTACCCGGAGGAAACCACCTCACTGGGTGGTGGTCTGTCTTCCATCAAAGCTTCATCCATCAACTTATGGCCACAGCAGGGACACAGTTCCACTCGGAATGCTGAGTGCAAAGCTACAGCTCCCCAACTGCTTACCGTTTTCTGAGAAGTACTACATATACGACATTAGAGAATTACAACTCTCATTTTTCCTTCCTTACAGACAATAAAGTTCAAGGGAAACAAAAGGAGTTATTCATAGTTTCCAAAGCTTTCCAATATTCCATTATTTCCAATATTTCCATTATTACTATTCTAATATTCACTCTAAGACGTGTTCCTAACAGGAACTGCATTACCATTAAAAAAAAAAATCCCAACACAACTAAAATCCAGGGTATGCTGCATTTTTTTTTTTTGCATTCAGCATGTATTAGTCTATTATTATAGAAGCTATTCTTAAGCATTTATTTAAAAAAACAATCATATTCACAAGGTAGAACAAGTATATAAAATTAGTGTGCAAAGGTAATTGTAAAAGGATAACACTATGTGTTTAGAAACAAGCTGCCTCCCCTGTTTACATTTCCTTACTATTGATATAAACTGGAGACTTACACTATTTAAAAATAATACTTTTTAAATAGTAAAATATACAAGAGATTCCTGAGCATAACAAAAATATCTTGAAAATATGTGGCCATTTGAAGTATAAAACAGTAAGTGTAAAGAATAGCATGATTGTAAAACTACTATTTGAAGGCTTATAAACAGTACAAAATAGTTTGCCTTTTCTGAGTGCATAATTATACATTAGTGCAAACAAAAACGTCTCAAAATTTAATGGCTACAAATCTCAGAGATTTGCAGAGGTGCGCAAAACATGAAATTTCTTTAATGTCATTCGAACTGAGCCCAGTTCTCGATTAATCCTTTCCAAACGATCTTCCAAGGCTTCCTAAGGGAAAATAACAGGAAAAGTTTTGTTAGAATTCTGCATCGAGTTCACTGATCTATAATTACAACCAAACTGAGCTTTCTTTTAGCAAAGGAGCAGGCAGAAACATTCAAATTAGAGTTGGTTTGTTTTTTTTTACACAAATCATCTTATTTATATTATTTCTTTAAACAGTGCGAATCAGTGTTTCAACCATTCAAATCAAATGCTGCACTTCAGCACCTTAACACATCCTCAGTACCAGTGCTACTTGGAGGATGCGGAAATCTCAGCAAGAGCAACGGGATCGAGCAAGGAGGTGACTCTCGGATTCTGCTGAACTGAGGACAGAACGAGAGGAGCCCAAAAGTACTTCACACACGTCACGGGAAGAAATGGATCGGTGCCTTATCCCACTGAGGCATATGTCAAACAACTTTCTTCTGACAAGAATTTCTAAGTTAAAAAGGAGGGAACACGCTGGAGGAGTTTCTTCCAAGAAACAAGAGATTTCACAAAGAATCAATGTAACAACTGCTATTTTTAAATAAGCAGTACTATTGTTAAATAAATAGAGCCTGGAATATAAATTTATCATTTTAGGTACTTTATTCAGTCTTAACTCCACTGGTATCCTGAAATAAAACTTAAAAGTTCCTCTTTAACAACTTTAATTATAAAAGGATCACATAAGGGGTGCCTGGGTGGCTCAGTCGGTTAAGTAGCTGCTTTCAGCTCGGGTCATGATCCTGGAGTCCCTGGATAGAGTCCCAAGTTGGGCTCCTTGCTCAGCAGGGAGTCTGCTTCTTCCTCTCTCTGCCCCTCCCCTGGCTCCTGCTCTCTCTCACTCGCTCACTTTCTCTCAAATAAAATCTTAAAAAAAAAAATTAAAATAAAAAAATAAAAGGATCACACGTTCACGATAAAATATTTAGAAGACAGAGGAGTAAAAAATAACCAGTTCCTCTTTCTTGTTTTTTTTCTGTAGATATCCACATCATTAAGAAGAAAAATAAAAACAATCAAATTCTCTACTTCAAAACATTTTTCAGCTGAACTTTTGTTATGAAATATCTTTCTGTGATATCATCTTAAATTAATTTGCAATATTCCATTAGATTTAACCAAGAATCTTTTAGCAGAAATTTAGGTTGCTTCTAATGTTGGATACCATAAATAATGCTGCAATAAATATTTTTAAAAAGATTTCTTTGCATACATCTGTAAATACTGCCTTAGGAATCATTCCAGAAGTAAAAATGCTAGGTCCGAAGAGATGCAAAACTCTAAAGCTTCAGAGAGAGGTCAAACTATATTCCAGAAAGTTTGTGACAATTTCTAATTCCACCTGCCATGTATGAGAATATGCTTTTCTAAATCCTGGGTACTGTTTTGTTTTGCGTGTGTGTGTATTTAAATACCTGCCTATGTAAGTTTTTTTTTTTTTAATGATGCTTTTGGGGGTGCCTGGGGGGCTTTTTTGGTTGAGTGTCTGGCTCTTGATTTCAGCTCAAGTCATGATCTCATGGGTCATGCGATCGAGCCCGGGTCAGGCTCTGCGCTCAGTGGAGAGTGTCTGCTTGAGATTCTCTCCCTCTGGCCCCTCCCCTGACCAGTGCATACACGCTTTCTCTCTAAAATAAATAAATAAATCTTTAAAAAAAAAAAAAAAATGCTGCTTTGGGGCACCTGAGTGGCTCAGTCGTTAAGCGTCTGCCTTCAGCTCGGGTCATGATCCCAGGGTTCTGGGATCGAGCCCCGCATCGGGCTCCCTATTCAGCGGCCTGCTTCTCTCTCTCCCACTCCCCCTGCTTGTGTTCCCTCTCTCGCTCTGTCTCTCTCTGTCAAATAAATAAAATCTTAAAAAAAAAAAAAAAGTGTATGCCTAGTTAAGCGTCCGCCTTCAGCTCAGGTCACGCTCAGCGGGCGAGTCTGCTTCTCCCTCTTCCTCAGCCCCTCCCCAAACTCATGTTCTCTCTTTCTCTCTCTCTCAAATGAATAAGATCTTTTTTAAAAAAAGATGCTTTGGGGGCACTTGAGTGGCTCAGACGTTAAGTGTCTGCCTTCAGCTCAGGTCATGATCCCGGAGTCCTGGGATCGAGCCCCACATCGGGCTCCCTGCTCTGCGGGAAGCCTGCTTCTCCCTCTCCCACTCCCCCTGCTTGTGTTCCCTCTCTCATGCTGTCTCTGTCAAATAAATAAATAAAATCTTTAATAAATAAATAAGTAAAGATGCTTCTGTTCAAATATGTAGTTTTTTACTCATTGGTGAGGCTGAATATTTTTCATCTTTTTCTTGCCAATTTTTCTTTTTTCCACTTATGAATCGTATTTAAGCATCTTCAGTCCCTTTCTGCTGTCACTGGTCTCCTTACTGGAAGAAACAGCTTTGACATGTACGAACAGGCTCTACTCCCTTTTAAGTTATTTTAAAAGCTTACAATCATTATATAAAAAATATATATGTAACAAATGTTTCAGATAAATTTACAATCAGAGTATCCACAAGTTTTCCTTCTGCCTTCCCAATAAGGAAGAAGAGTTTCATGTGTTGAGTCTTACAAATTATTGAGTAAAGACTTTTGGAACAACAAAAACAATAAGAGACTTAAAGTCTTAAGGAGAAGTTAGGTATATAAGCCCAAGGAAAGACCTCTGCTGTTTTCTTTGCTTTTTTTTTTTTTTCCTTCTGGTATCACAGATCAATCTGAAAATGAATTTTTCCTGAAGTTAAAGCACTGAAAAGCCAAAACATGCAGTTATATAAGAGACCTATCCTTGTCGTTATGCTTAAAATGTTACAAAAAGAGACTGTAAATGTCCCATGGTTTCATGCATTTTGATTCTCTCTGGAAGGCAACTAAAAGAAATGCACATGAGCCGCTTCACCTGAACCATCTCCTGCTCAATAATGGAATCACATCTCTCTCTCTCTTTTTAAAATATTTTATTTATTTGAGAGAGAGTGTGAGCGAGAGCAAGAGCCGGGGAAGGAGCAGAGGCAGAGGGAGAAGCAGGCTCCCCGCGGAGCAGGGAGCCCTATGCGGGGCTCGATCCCAGGATCCTGGGATCGTGACCTGAGCCGAAGGCAGACGCTTAACTGACTGAGCCACGCAGGTGCCCCCATCTCTCTCTTTTTAACCTCTACAGCTATTCCAGTTGCAAAGCCAACTGTTCTATGTATTTACTAAATGGAAAGGGGCTGAGAAATAGAGACTGGGGAGGAAAAAACAAACACAGAAAGGGACATTTAACGTGAGAGGATTAATTTTTTTTTTTTAAAGATTTTATTTATTTGAGAGAGAGAATGAGATAGAGAGAGAGCATGAGAGGGGGGAGGGTCAGAGGGAAAAGCAGACTCCCTGCTGAGCAGGGAGCCCGATGCGGGACTCGATCCCGGGACTCCAGGATCATGACCTGAGCCGAAGGCAGTCGCTCAACCAACTGAGCCACCCAGGCGCCCTGAGAGGATTAATTTAACATAAAATCTGTTCAAAGGCATATTGTATAGTGGCATGAACGTCTTTTTCATGAAGCATAAAGGAAAAATCACTTTTTATTCCCGAAAGCCAGCACGCAGTTCTAAAATATACTATACTGCTTCTCCCTCTCCCACTCCCCCTGCTTGTGTTCCTGCTCTCGCTGTGTCTCTCTCTGTCAAATAAATAAATAAAACCTTTAAAAAATAAAAAATAAAATAAAATATACTATAATCACCAAACACTTCCTAATAGGCCGAAAGTTTAGCCCGAAAGTTTAGTTTAGTTTTTGTTCCAGGGTGCCTAATACAACATCTTGAATAATGGAACCCCAGCCGGCACCACGCCTCTAACACACGTTCAAGCTGAGACGGTTCACCTGGTTTAATCTTGTCTGCAAAGTGATTCGTCCTCCAGTAGAAGGCATTCGACTTAGTGCTGCCTCAATCTGTGAACACACAAAACAAATTTAGATAAAAACAGAAGAATTCTGACGAATGGCAGGGATGTCTGTAACAGAATGGAAAGGACAGGCTTCAGCCTAGTACTTTCTAGTGCGCCTCGCCTTCATGTAAGCGCCCTCTGTCCTGCTCAGCAAGGACAGCTCAGCTCAATCGCGATCCGAGCGCAGCTCTGGGGTGCGAGCCACAGTAGCTTCCTGGCATGGTCTGACTCCATAATTCCCTCTGACTATTCCTCAGACATAAGCATTAAGTTCAGAAAAACATTTGGGTTTTGTTTTTTGTTTTTTTTTTAAGTTTTTGTTTTTACCTGGTCTTTTTCTTTTGTAAGTTCATCAAAAAACCGTTCCGTTTCAGCTAGGGTCCTAATTTTTGCTGTATACTCAAAATCATTACCATGTGGGGCTACCGACGCGGGCTCACACCGTTCATAGCTAACTGACTTATTCTTCTCCCAGGCTGGTCTCACAGACACTTCCTTCCTTCCATGTGGCAGCAGTCCGGGAGAAGAGCTGTGATTAGCCCGGATGTCGGTGGCTGTTTCTGAGTATTTTTTTTCTGTCAGAGAGAAAAGAAATTTCTTTTATTTCTTACCAGTTTTCATGCTCAATCATATACATAACTATATATGTTATCTGACTTCACTTTCTGGAAAGGACTGCCACATACCAAAAAACATAATGAAAAGAGACACAATAATCAATCATATTTACTCAGTGCTTTTTCTCCACAGAATTCTAAAAGTTTTGCTCTCGGTTTGACAATCTGCACACCTTCCCTAAGTGAAGGTATGTAAACTTTCTGTAAACTTACAAGAACTTTAAGTAAACTTAAAGAACAAAAAAAGTTAAGCACTAAACACACACATTTAGTGGGCACAAACCCACACCAACAGTGCAGAGCTGGCATCTTACGGGGCCTGCCCAAGTGATTCACATGCATTATCTTGTAACTTTATTCCAAACTTAAAAGATAAATGAGAAAAAAGAAAAAAAAAAATCACCCGATGCCTAAGTTGCACAGAAATTAGTAAAGAGAGAAACTGAACAGTATGGCTCTGGTTAAATAAGCATTAACGCTGTCTGTACCTCAGTTTCCCAACTTTTCAATGAGGATAACAGCGTTGACACATAATATGAGCATCACGAATGCTTATTCTTAGAGGCCCTTGTGCAGAAAAATTATTTAAGTGCAGGATATTATACTATTTAGGACCTTGAAAAAAATGCCAGAAATTCACAAAATGACTAAAACCATAACTAATAATTTTTTAGGAAAAGATACCTTCCGAGTCATCTAGAGGAAGAAACTGGAGTTGTTTTCTTGGATTGGTACGTTGTAATGCAGACACAGGAACAGTATCTAAATCATCCAAAAGTATATCAAATCTATTGAATGAAGCAAGTTATTTGTGAGAAAAAAATGTTAACTGATTTTCCCTATCTCCACTAGAAAGATGAGCTGGCATCCAGTTAACTCACACATTCACGTATATTTTAAAAAGAAAGATGGTCATATAATTTTCTAAAACTGAAGTTTAATTTATATTTTCTAACACAAAATTATACTTATATATGAGAGACTTAAAGCATTTACCCATACATTATTTCCTTCAATCTTTATAACAACCTTATAATATATGCAGGGCAGGTATTATTATCCCTGTTTTATAGAAGAGGAAACCTGAGGTTCAACGAGCTTAAGAAATTTCTCAAGAGCCTGATGGAGCCAGGTCACCAGCTCTTCCATCGTAGGCATGCATGGCTCCCCACAGGGGCACACAGTGCTGACCACACTTCAGAGAGAGGACAATTGTCTCAGGCACCCAGGGAAACTTACGTGTATTGCCAGGGCCATCCCAGGACAGCCCACTTTCTTGTACAAATGGCTCAAAAACTGCCCTGTATCATAAACCTTTTCAGGAAAACAAAGAATTATCATTCTATATCCAAAAGCTGGAAGGGATTCTGAGGCAGTATTTAAATTCAGTAGTAGCCGGTATCCACAGTTAAAAACTGTTTTCATGGATTACAGTATTTTTTAATTTTTAATATGACATTCATTTAAATGATTTAAATCCAAAGGGTTCCCACTGGCAACTGAAAAATTAGTGATAGCTACAGGCATAAAGCTGACACTTAAAAAAAAAAATCAGTAATAAAATATTTTATTCTATTATTTTAGAGAACTTACCGAGTTGGACTGCTTTCATTTTTGCTCAGTAGATGACTAAATCCTGGGGACAAATTTTCTTTAGGGGATCGCTTTGGACTATAAGCCACAGTCACTGGTGTTAACATAATCTCTCTTTTTGCTACAGAAGAAAATGAAGAGGAAATATTCTCTTCCTTCAATATAATGCATATATTGGCAGAGCATACTTTCTTCTTCAGTACTTTTTTCTAACTTTAATGGAATACAATTTTATTATAAAACTTTTTGAAAGATAAATAAGAGCATACAAAAGAAAAATAATTCATAATCCTCACACCTAGAGGGAACCAGGGTCAACACTGTATCAGACTGCGGTGTCAGCACGCAGACTCAAAACCGGTTTTTCAGGATTTTAGAAGTCGACCGGAAATAAGATGGAGACACCGGTGCACGTTCCTGTCACACAGGGACACACCAACACCAGCACACATTCCTGTCCACTGTCACACGGGGCCACACAAATACCGCCATGCACTCCTGTCACACGGGGACACACAAATATCTTCAGCTGTTCTGAAAATGGAAATCGAGAAAACAAATCCAATGCTTAACCTTTAAAACCGTAACTGTAACTGACTAAAGAAACCAGAGGAAACTATATGAAAAGAAGTATATCTTTTCCAGGCTAGCTTAAATTAATTTGTTTGAACTAATGTTTAATTAGATAGTTGTCAATGCCCTCAAAAACCGTGAAATGGTAGGAGTTGCAAAAAGGAATTTGCTGAACACACACAAAAATCTCATTTGAATATACTGTGATAATTCCTTCACCTAAAGTCATAGTTATCTGTGCAGTCAGGTGATATTATTGAACAAGACCTTATTTAGGGACCCTGTGCTCAGAGGACTCTAGTAGGTGCTAGAGAACATAAGGGAAACAAAAAACATCAGGCATGTGTGCACAGCTCGGATACCACTCTTTTGAGCCCAGGAGATAGACACATCTAACTCTTACTTGGAGTACTTGATTTACGAGTTGAAGGTGGTAAAGACGAGGATCTCTGTGAAGCAGAATTAAATCTCCTCTGTCTTTGTTGGGCACATTTCTCTGGGGACCGACTTGCACTGACTGACGTTTCAGTTTGCCGAGGATTCGCTAATTCTGTAACAAACAAATGGTTAAAAAGTAAACAAAACAAACCTAGCTCTGGTTACCCGCCTTTATTAACAGATGATTACGCCAAGCAAGCAATTCTCACTATCCAGGTTAGAATGATTATTTGCAAATACACATTGTAAGGATTAAAAAATGCTTGATGAAGAAAAATGTGGGAGTTTATAATGAATTCATTCTGGCTTCCTGTTTACAATTGCCATTCAAGGTGATTTTTCAAGAGAGATTATTTTTAGAAAGCAAGTCACTAATTTATTTACTAGGAGATACTGCTTTGGAGATGCAACGTAATCAGCAGGCCCGATCAAGTGAGCACTGGAGTGAGTACAAGGAGATGCAAGTAGTGTTGACCTGTGCTTGTGAGAAAAATGGTATTCAAGATACTTCTTGGGGCACCCAGCTGGCTCAGTCAGAACAGCATGTGACTCTTGATCTCGGGGTTGTGAGTTCGAGCCCCACGTTGGGTGTAGAGATTACTTAAAAATAAAAAATTAGGGGCGCCCGGGTGGCTCAGTTGGTTAAGCGACTGCCTTCAGCTCAGGTCATGATCCTAGGGTTCTGGGATCGAGCCCCGCATCGGGCTCCCTGCTCAGCCGGAAGCCTGCTTCTCCCTCTCCCACTCCCCCTGCTTGTGTTCCCTCTCACGCTGTCTCTCTCTCTCTCTCCCTGTCAGTTAAATAAATAAATAAAATCTTTAAAAAATAAATAAATAAAAAATAAAAAAATCTTAAAATAAAAAGATACTTCTTATCCTACTGAGAGATGCTCAGTAACCAAAAAAGGGAAAGTAGAAAACGTTACATCTCACTTTATGAATACCAAATGTCTACTGTAACTTTCCAAGGACAAACTGATGTAGATATATTTCAAATATCTTTAAGAATGCTGCATAAATTTTTACTAATCAGAATGTAACATGTAGTCTATAATCTATTATCTGTCTATATCAAACAAGGGAAAAATGCTTACTATTTGAGGTGTCCTCTTTCTCTGTCTGTGTGCCCCAATTTTTAAATATTTTTCCTTCATCGAGTTCTTTTAAAGCTTTCATGATTGGTGTATCTGAAGTCTCTCTTTGTTTTTTTATCAATAAGCTTCTTGGTGAACTTTCAGATGAAGAATCCTTTTCCGGAGGAGAATGGTACCTTAAATAAGAATTGTAAGACATGCAGTGCTATGAACTGAGTATTTGTGTCCCCCCAAAACACTTGTATGTTGGAGCCCCAATCCTCAGTGGATGGTGTTAGGAGGTGAAGCCTTGGGGAGGTGATTAGATTTAGATGAGATCATGAGGGCGGGACCCTGTGATGGGATTAATGCCCTTCTAAAAAGAAGAGATACAAGATGTCTCCGCCGCACACATTCACCAAGCAAAGACCCTATAACCAGGAAGAGGGCCCTCACCAAGAACCCAACTGTGCTGGCACCCCAGTCTCAGACTCTCAGACTCCAGAACAGCCGGAAAAAGTGTTTCTTGTTTAAGCTGCCCGGTCTACGGTGCTTTAAAATAGCAGGCTGCGCTAAGACAGAGGCCCCTGGCACTGTTAGGGAATGACATGAGAGTTAACAATTACACTCCACAATGAATATATATGCTTTACAATGTAAATAAACTAAAATTGAACCTGCATGTAATAGACCAGCACTTCCCAGTCCTCTTCACATCCTGGCACATACATAAGTATTATATTTATATGGTGCTCTGGAGTAACATGGTTGCGTGGGCTGTCCAGAAGGTGCGAGGACCAACACCTTAGCCTAACCGAGAGTCTGTGCACAGCACACAACTGTCAGGAGCACAGGGTGGGGTACGGTCTGCACGGCCTTTGATCTTAAGTATCCTAAACCCATTAGCTTTTCAAAGTAAAATAAAAATCTGGTCCTCAAAAGTAAGACACTGAAGCCACAAAGAGAAGGCTCTTCTTTATGCCTTCCTGAACATTGAAAGGCAACTGAAATCTGTGAAACCATAATCGACCCTAAATATGACCTTTGACAAAGCTACCTTACCCGGGAGCACAGGTTTCCCCTAGCTGGTTATCCACTCTGTTATCCTGGGTGTCCAAAGGCTGGCCAGTAAAGATGGAATACTCCGCTCCTGGTATCAGCCACTTGCGCCTGCTGACGTCGGAGGTGGCCAGCGTGCTAGGACAGGGAGAAATGATCTGAGGCATGACAGGCTCGTGCTTCAGTGCACACGGAACACATACCGAAAACAACCTGCTTTGTGGTGGTTTTCTTTGTTTTGTTTTTTTAAGATTTTATTTATTTGACAGAGAGAGAGAAAGAGAGCACACGCAGGGGGAGCAGCAAGCAGTGGGAGAGGGAGAAGCACACTTCCCGCTGAGCAGGGAGCCCGAAGGGGGGCCTGATTCCAGGACCCTGGGATCCTGACCTGAGCCAAAGGCAGACGCTTAACCGACTGAGCCGCCCAGGTGCCCCAAACAACCTGCTTTGAAATGGTACGTACACATTTGTACAGTAATTCTAAAAGTGCATAAAACAACCTTATTTTAGATATACGAATTCTATTTTATGGTTTTCAGATCCAACCAAACTATTATTTTAGGTTTCTGTTACTTTGGGCTATTTCTGCATCTCAGTCAAGGTATTCTCCTGTCTACACAGCTCTGAACACCCCCAAATAACTTCCTACCACACTTCCTATGCTTCACACCCAACCCATAGCTCAGGACAAGGAGGTACAGCGACAGTGCCCTTCTCATTCCTCCCAGACCAGCACTGCCCAGGAGAACTTTCTGTGAGAACAGAAAGATCCTCTATCTGTACAGCCCAATACAATAGCCACTAGTCACATGCTGTTGAATTGTGGCTAGTGAGATGAAGAAGCAATCTTTACATGTTATTTAATTTTAATTAACTTAAATGAAATAGCCACACACAGTGACTAGTGTATTGAGTAGTGCAGCTGAAGGCCAGCCCTTCCCGCATCTTATGGACACCCTGCCCAACTCAAGCTCACACATCATGCATTAACCGGCCCTTTGCTAGACTTCAGAACTGTTCTCACCTTCTCCACACCTGCTCCTGCCCTCCTACTTCAGTGTCCACAGGGAGGAGCTATCCTGGACCTCTCACCAATGATTGGACTCGACTCCTGTTTGCTCACCCGCTCGCCCGCCCCTCCATTGGAGAATACTCACTGGACTTCATCATCACTAGAGAACACATCCCCTTAAGAAGTCACAACTCCAGGGGAGCCTGAGTGGCTCAGTTGGTTGGGTGACTGCCTTTGGCTCAGGTCATGATCCCGGAGTTCCGGGATCGAGTCCAGCATCGGGCTCCCTGCTTGGCGGGGAGTCTGCCTCTTCCCTCTGACCCTACCCCCTCTTGTGCTCACTCTCTCTCAAATAAATAAGAAGTCACAACTCCAAAGATTCTTCTGGCTAAGGTGCTCAATTATCACCAAGGCACTGTGACCCCAAGGCCTGTGATCCCTGGCCTCACCACTTAACCGACTGAGCCACCCAGGTGCCCCAAACAACCTACTTTGAAATGGTATGTACACATACCCTAGCTTTTTCAGCTCCCCTCTACCTACTCTGGGGTGCACAGTTACTCACTGCCTTGATCCCCTTTCCGCACTCACCTTCCCTCACCCCCGACTGGCAGCAGAGACCTAAGCCTGAGGAACACGGTGGTCTTGCTCCCGAGTGTCTACAGTCCTAGCTCTGGGCTTTGCTGGAAGCAAGCCACCCAACTGTGCAGCCTGGGCTAGCACCAGAGTCACCATCACCATCTCCACGGACACCCAACACTGGCTGACAACATATGTTTCTGTAATCGACAAGCTCCAGTTCTCCAACAGGACTCCCTTACACCTTTCTCCACTCTCCTCAAACCTCTCCCAGCCCTCCCGGTCAGCTGATAACCCCGCAGAACACTTGGGAGGGAAAAAAGAGACGAGGAGACAAGAGGTGTCTTCCTCTCTCTGCTCCCTTCCACAGCCAACCTTCTTACAATTTCCCTCATTTTCATGTAAACTCCCCGTCGCTCCCTTCCTTTTTCCCTCGATTTTTAAATTAAGAAACATTCCCCAAACGTTCTTAGAAAATTACAAAGACTACTGCAATCACTCACTTGTACTTAGTTTTAACAAACGCTAACATCTTACCATATTTGTTTTCAACGGTAAGACAGAAGATTCTGCATATAAGGTCATTTGTATTTTTTAAATTATGTCCACATAATGCACACGTCCTTTTAATGCTGCTGTTTCTACTCGTGTTTCAGATTTCTCCATGTTAACACAGACAGGGGCATCATTTTAATTATTTACCCACAGTACAATTATGCCACACCTTATCTATCCTTTCTCCTGCTGGTGGATGTTTTAGTTTCTATGCATCACCTTTCAATGCTACAATTAACATGTGTAGGAATTCCTCTGAGGTAAATATCCAAAAACAGAACTGTGGAATTTGGGGTGCACACATCTTCAGTCTTACTGGATATTGCCAAATCACGGTCCAGACAAGCTTATCGATTTTCAGTCCAACCAGCAGTTTGAAGGTTCCTATTTCTTCACATCTTTGACAAATTTTACAATGATCAGAGCTGGAGTCTGGCCTGGACTGTCTGATGGTGTGAGTGGTATCCCATGCTTATTTTAATTTGCATTTTTCTGATTACTAGTAAAATGAACATCTTTTCAATTTTATCAGCCATTTAGAGGTTTCTTTTCCTGTGAATCATTTGTTCGTATTCTTTTATCATTTTTCTATTGAGAGTTTTTCTTATTGATTTATAGTTCTTTATATCCTGGATACTGATCTCTTATTGGTTCCTGTTCACTTAAAATATAAAATATTTCAAACAGGGGCGCCTGGGTGGCTCAGTTGGTTAAGCGCCTGCCTTCGGCTCAGGTCATGATCCTGGAGTCCCGGGATCAAGTCCCGCATCGGGCTCCCTGCTCGGCAGGGAGTCTGCTTCTCCCTCTGACCCTCTTCCCTCTCATGCTCTCTGTCTCTCATTCTCTCTGTCTCAAATAAATAAATAAAATCTTTAAAAAATATATATATTTCAAACATGCACAGACATACAGATTATACTCATGCACCAACCATCTGTTTATGAACCTTGTTTGCTCTATTTCCGCTGAACAGTGGAACACTACAGATACAACCCAAGTCGCCTGTGTATCTCACCAATATCATTCCTCCAATGTCATAACCCTAGTGTAAGCGGTCAGCTACCACTTTCACTAAATTTGTATCAGCATTCCATACACGTTGTTATACTTTTACTACTTCTGTATGAATCTGTAAGATACGTTCTAAATGCTAAAGTCAATATAAATACTGTCCTACTTCTTCTGCAACCGGTATTTTGTTGTTCCAAATTATGTTCTTAAGATTAAACCATGTTGGGGTGCCTGGGTGGTGCAGTCAGTTAAGCGTCTAACTCTTGGCTTCAGCTCAGGTTGTGAGATCAAGCCCCACATTGGGCTCCGTGCTCAGTGTGGAGTCTGCTTGAGATTCTCCCTCTGCCTCTCCCACTCGTGCTCTCTCTCTCTCTTTCAAATAAGTAAATAAATCTTTTTTTTTTTTTTTAAGATTTTATTTATTTATTTGACAGAGAGAGAGACAGCGAGAGCAGGAACACAAGCAGGGGGAGTGGGAGAGGGAGAAGCAGGCTTCCCGCCGAGCAGGGAGCCCGATGTGGGGACTCGATCCCAGGACCCTGGGATCATGACCTGAGCCGGAGGCAGACGCTTAACGACTGAGCCACGCAGGCGCCCCTTTCCAAACATTTAACAACGTAAAAACCACTCTTTGCTCACGGCTCTACAAACACGGGCAGCAGGCTGGACTTGGGCTGGGGCTGCGCTTGCCAATCCCTGATCTAATGTACGCGCCGTCACACTACACAGCACCGTACATAAATATATCACAACATATTAATGTTCCAGCCGCAAGACATACAGGCCACTTTCACTCTACACAACCTTCCCAACGGATGTGCACAACTGTCCCTCCACGCAAACCACTCTCCAGTCCATCAAGGCCGGGCTGGCGCACCTAGGGGTCACCAGTCCCCGCAGTTGCTCTCTCAGCAGTGTCTACACCATTGGCCACTTCAGGGTTCCTCCGAGCACCCTGGCAGCTCTTTCTCACGTTCTTGTGCCAACTCCTTCTGGCCCCAACATCAAAACATCGGGGGGTCCTCAGAGCTTCATCCTACACCAACCTCCCACCACACACCCATCATCTATCCCAGAGTCAAGCACTACAGAATAATTCTAAAATTTGTAACTCCAGCCTAAGACCCTATTTCTGAATTCCAAATGTAAATTTATAATCACCTGCTTGATTCCCACTTGGAATTCGTATGAATCTCAAACTAAAATATTCGAAATGGAAATTCTGATCCTTACCCCATGGTCGGCTCTTCCCATTTCTTCCCTAGTTCAATATGTGGCACCTGGAGTTGCTCAAGACAGAAACCAAGGTGTTATCAGACACCTCTCTTTTAATCTTGTCATCTCATTCTTAACCATGTTCTGTGGATTCTATCTCCAGAATCTCTCGCAGACCCTTCTCTTCTGTCCATTTCTATGGCCAGCACCCAGTGAACACCGTTTCTCCTAACAGTATAACTGCCTAATTAATGTGTCTGCTTCTACTTTTCCTCTCCATCTTCTCCTCATGGCAGGTGCATTAAAAATATAGAAATCAGGGGCACCTGGGTGGCTCAGTCGGTTAAGCGTCCGACTCTTGATTTCAGCTCAGGTCATGATCTCAGGGTCATGAAATTACACCCCGCATTGGGCTCTGCACTACGCCTGGAGCCTGCTTAAGATTCCCTCTCTCCCCCTCTCCCTCTCTCCCTCCCACCCTGTTTGCTCGAGCTCTCTCTCAAAAAAAGAAAAGAAAAGAAAAGAAAAAAATATCAGATGACCTAATTTTACCACATAAAACCTTTCAAAGGCTTCCCAACAGACTTAGAGTAAAATCCAAACTCTTGACCATGGCTTAGAAAGCGATGTACGACAGTCTATGATTTCATCTGGAGCTATTTCACCCCTTGCTGGCAATATTCAGGTCACATAAACTTCCTCCAGGTTCTTTAAAACATGTTAAGCTCTTTCCTACCTCTGGCCGTAGTAAAGCTCATTTCTCTGCCTGGAACATGCCCCTCCCTCATGCCTCCCACACCAACAACTCAGCACAGGGCTTACCTCCCGGACTACAAGTCACGTCCACAGAAAGGCCTTCCCTGACCCCAATCTCACAGCACTCTTGTCGCTCAAATGTTCAATTTCAGTAACTTACAAAATTTTTTCTTTAAATAATTCACTATGTTCTAACTTAAGGTCAATGAACAAAGATCTAGAAAAAGTTTCTCATTTGACAATGACATAGGTTAAAATTTACAATTAACACTCTTTCTCATACACACCAATATTATGACCTTATGATCTACTCATTTAACATTCTTTACAAAATCATACAAAAAACCAATCTAATATGAAAAAAACTATAAATGTATCAAGATAATGCTCTGAGATTACAGCAAAGCCAATTTTGAATAAAAAACTAAAAAGAAAAATTCATACAACCTAATGAAGATCTATCTTCATAGGTCTGCCCATTAACATAGGAATAAAATTTCTGGAATTTTAGGGCTAAAAGACCTTTTGAGATGTTCTAGCTCAATGTCCTTGTTTTTAGAGATAATAAAATTGAGCTCCAAAAAAAAAACCTAAGTGATTTGCCTAAGGTCACACAGCTGGGCAGAGTCAACAAAGAAAACATTCCAAGTCTCTTTACACCCAATCTGATTCTATTTCCTCCTCTTGGCAAATGCCCCCGCATGAGAGGTTTTATGATATCTAATAATTAGATGGTTTTACTTTCCTGTTTTTTTAAGTAAGCTCTGCACCCACCACCCCGAGATCAAGAGTCGCATGCTCTACTGACTGAGTCCCAAGCGCCCCATAATTAGATGCTTTTACACATCTACATTCTATAATGAGATTTAACTCTGACTTCCTATGAGTTACACAGATGAGCTTCTCAGTTTAATGAAAGGGTGCACTTATTTCTAGCTTTACAGAGATTAAACAAAATAACTTACTTGGCACGTGAGGATCTCATGGGAGTTTTAGAACTATGGCGAAGACTTAACATATTTTCATGCTCTACTTGCTTGACCTGAGCTTCAAGTTTTGAAATTGTTCTAATTCAAAAGTAAAAGGAGAAATTAAGTACACGAGTTAAAATATAGCTCAACTACAAATTACTTATTTAACAGATGCTTCTAGAAAAGGGGTGACAGAAGAACCGCTGGTCTGTAAGCCTTTTTCAAAATAAAAGCTGAGCAAAACTGGAACATAAACTGAAAGGCAAATACATTAAACTCTACAAATAAACACGCCATATACTACAAAATTGAAGGGTAAGGAAACAACAAACGGACTTTATATAGACAATTTAAAAAAATTTATACATTTGACTACAGGTCAAAACACGGTATAAATTAAATTAAAAAATAAAATAAATTCAAGGATTCAGTAAATTGCAATTCTAACATGTTTAATTCTAAACATATATATTCACACATATAAAACATACATAGGTAATGTTTTCACAAAAAAGGAAGCAGGTTTAATATCCAATAAAAGAGCTAGTAAGAACTTCCTCATTTTTAAAAGACACAGAGGCTAAACTATCTTGAAAACTATCTACCGACAACTTACCTCATCTGTGCCATGTTCCGAATAAAAGCCTATTTTCAAGTTTACCAAGAGAAAATAGGACTCTGGCCAATTAATTGCTTTGAGGTTATCTTGGCATTCTTTCTGTTCTTTTAAACTTTGCATATGTCTTCGTCTCATCTTTTAAGCTCAAATTCTTGCCTACCCTGATGCAAGGAAGGTTTGAGAAAGAATAGCTCTAACGGGCTGATGCTTTATGCCAATGTGATAAGGAAGCTATCAGCAGAACTGAATGCATCACAGAAAAGACCTGAGCAGATGAGAAGGCCAGACAGCATTCATGTTCTCCCCGATGGGAAGTCCTGAGGAGTGCAGTAAAATCTCCAAATAAGGGACACATCTCCAAATACAAATACAAAAACATGCTCCAAAGCCAATTAGAAATATCTAATCATTTGCATAATGAAACACATAATGTTTCAGGAAATGCACACTCCTCAAACACAACCACCAATATACTCTAATCGTTTAAAAATCTTCTTCGGCTGGGCGCCTGGGTGGCTCAGTTGGTTAAGTGACTGCCTTCGGCTCAGGTCATGATCCTGGAGTCCCGGGATCGAGTCCCGCATCGGGCTCCCTGCTCGGCGGGGAGCCTGCTTCTCCCTCTGACCTTCCCCCCTCTCATGTACTCTCTCTCTCATTCTCGCTCTCTCAAATAAATAAATAAATCTTTAAAAAAAAAAAAAATCTTCTTCAGCTAAAATCAAATGTATTTCCAGGTCAGGGGAGATTAGGATAAAACCTGATCACAAAGTGCCTAAAAATCCTCAAGAAAAACTTTCTTTTCATTGCTTTCAGTACAGACACATATTTAAATGCTAAAAGAACAACAGAGGCATAATTATCTTACTAGTAAGAGAATACATTTTACCTTTTCAAATCAGAAATCTGAGTATGTGCATCAAGCAATTTGTTCTCAGTTGTATTTAATGTATCCTATTAAGATAAAGGAAAAATTCGATAAGTGAAATATTCAGGATATATTCATTTTATTTTAAAATACATAATATGAAACCAATCTAAGACTACACCATAGAGCTACAAAAAAAATTATGCAGATACTCAGCCAATATAGCATCAACCACGAGCCAGTATATAATTCAAGGGAAAAACTGAGAGAACAAAACACTGGTTTATACAAAGAGCCGTACATATATCCCCTGTAATAACAGGTATAGCTTATTAAGCTTTGCTTGATTACAAGTAATCCAGTGTTAAAATGGACATGTTTTAGCCACAGCTTGCCCAAAAACCTCAGTAAATGGCAAAACAGATACCTGTGCTGGTGAGATTTTAGATGTTCTGACCGGCTCCTGAGCCCCCAGAACACCTCCCTGCCTTCCTCTAACCCTGAATGACCACAACCCTATATCCTATGCAACAGAAATACTTTGGACCCCACTTACAGCATCACTGTGGGGTTTCGCTGAATTCAAATAGGTAGTTCCCAAAGCTTTCATTAAGAAATAAAACATAATAAATTCAACCCCACAAAAAGCGAATGCTTTAAAAAACTTCGTATTTAAATATTATTAAATAATTATTTACATGTATATCATACCTTATACTCTTCTAAAAATTTCATCTCAATTCATCTCAAATGCAATAGCCATTCAATATTTGTTAACATAGATCTGAAAATTTATGACTTAAGTGGGCAAATATTTGAAAATAAGGATATTGACAGAGAAGATGAAGTGAGTGGTCTAACTCAAGCAGCTAAATGGGGATGGAGGATGGGGAGAACGGAGGGGGTTATATAAAGGGTCAGCCCTCTTCATTTCCAACCCAGTGCTTTTACCCCTCCATGAAGCTCAGAACATGAATGATCAACCATTACCTTTACTCTTTCGTGTTCTTTTCCAAGGGACTCATATTCTCCTAAGAGCTACAAGGAAAAACAAAGAAATGTACCACAAAATTAAACATTATAACATCAACTCAGAGATCGTCTATAAAATAGCTGTCCATACAACTCTTCAAAAATGCTAAGGTCTTGAAACAGAAAGGTTAACACTCTGTTCCAGATTGAAGGTGACTAAAGGGTTAAGAGGAGTGAATATAAGGCATGATTCTGGGTTGGATCCTGAACTGGGAAAAAAGTGCCATAAAATAGTAATTTAGATGTGAATTGCACATTTGATTTCTTTACTTTGATTTGTCTGTGACTATGTACAGAAGGCCCTTGTTCTTAGGAAATACATACCAAAATGTAGGGGTAAAGGGGCATAATGTCCACAACTTACTCTCAAATGGTTCAAGAAAAAAAAATGCATATGGGAACGAACATATATATACAGGAGGTGATAAAGTAAATACGGCAAAATGTTAACAACTCTGATCCTAGGTAAAAGGAATAGGATAATTCTTACAAGTTTTCTGTAAGTTTGAATTTGTTTCAAAATAAAAACAAAAATTATATAGTATCAGTCAAGACCCTTTAAGTAAGCAGTATTTTGAAAGATTAAAATTTGCATTCTTTTTTGAATTGTATACTTTTTTTATAAATTCCACAGAGTAAAGGCAAAATCCCAAGTCTAATATAATTAGGTAATTTTCTTAAAAATACATATATGTGAGACTTATTAAAGAAGAGAGAGTCAAAGAATTTTCTTTTTATCCTAAGATCCCACTAAACAATGAGGCAGTTACAGAGAAATCAAGAGTTGAGTGCAACAAAGGAGAGATCTCAATGAAGATGCAACAAGGCAGAGGAGGCTATAAGCTTCAGTGCCTGTAAATGGGATGCTCACGGTGAGCAGGCTGGTATCTTCATAACCCTGAGAGGCTCAGGACTTGAATCTCAGGTTCAGTAGTAGGTAGGGTGGAAGCACAGGCTGACCAAAGGGAACTGGTTAAAAGTCTTTCAGTTGAGTGGCCAGAGCCTAGGACAGCAGTGGACTGCCCAGCCAGGCGATAGGACACAGGAAATGTGAATGAGAGACGAATGCCACTCTGGAAACCCAAGTCTAACAGGTGGAGGAAGCAAAGGGATAAGGAAGTGATGATTAAGGAAAAGTTTAAAACAAACAAACAAAAAAACCCAACTTGGCTCCCCATCCCTCACTGCCACCAGAGCATGATAAGAGACCGGGAGACTCTTCTTTGGGTAAACCAGACAATCCCAGAAAACAGACCTCTACATAATCACATCTGGAGGTTCCCTAACCAAACGGCTGGTCCATCACTCTATGATTGCTTATACAGAAAGGCTACTAGGCTACTAGGAAATAGGCCCCATCTGTGCACAGAGAGTCTGCAAATGGCTTTTGACTGCCTCCCCCTTAAATGTGAGTCTACAGTAAAGGAACACTTTTTTTTTTCTTTTTTTTTAAAGATTTTATTTATTTATTCATGAGAGACAGAGAGAAACAGGGAGAAGCAGGCTCCCAAGGAGTGGGAAGCCCGATGCGGGACTCGATCCCAGGACCCTGGGATCATGACCTGAGCCGAAGGCAGACGCTTAACCATCTGAGCCACCCAGGCGCCCACAGAACACTTTTTTTTTTTTAAAAGCAAAAAATTCAATATGAAGCTGACTTCAAAATGAAAGGTTAACTCAGAAAAAATAAATCAAAACTAAAGAAAGCATTAAAAAAGCTATTAATATCCTCAGAGAAATCAGGTTATATTCAAAAAACAAGACAAGAAAGTAATAAAAAACTAGCAACTGAAGAACAAGAAACAGCTCTTAGAAACTAAAAATGAGAGCGAAAATAAATGTAATACTAATACAAGGAGATAGAGAACAAAGAGGCCATGATGGAAACTAAAGCATACAAGTCTTAGAAAATCAACCCATGCAATACAACATTTACTGGCAAAAGTTCCAGAGAAAGAGAACACAGACGTAAGGAAATCAACAGAGAAATAACATTAGCAAGTCTATAGAACCAAAGGACATTAATTTCCAGATTGGAAGAATCTGTGCCTCCAACAATGAATGAAAAAAGACTTGTATCAAGGCATATAATGTTATGGAATTTAAGGATACCAAGGATAAGAAGATGCTAAAACTTTCAGAAGGAGCTGTGAACTCATTTATAAGGAATGAGAAACACATTTACTAAACGCAATGGGTGGTCCTTGATTGGAGTGTGAATTAAAAAGCAAAACCCAAAACATCTATGATGGACATTATTTAGACAACTGGGGAAATTTGAATATAGACTGTAGATTAGATACTAGTATTGCATCAATATTAAATTCCCCAAGTGTGAGAACTGTGTTGAGATTATGTAGGAGAACGTCCTTGTTCTGACGAGACACCTGTTGAAGTATTTAGGAGTGAGATCTCAGTGTCTGTAATTGACTCCCAAATTGTTCCGCAAAAGGAAAAAAATCTGTAATGTTGTGAAGACATAAAGCAAATGTGGTAAAATATTCACAATTGGTGAACTAGATAAGGAATATACAGAGGTTTTCATCATACCATCTGTACCATTTTTCGGTAGGCTTAAAGCTTTCAAAATAAGAGAGATGGGGGGAAAGGAGAAAACACAAAAGACACAGGATTGGGACGGGGGAGAAAGGAAGAGAATCAATCATCAGGTATATTCTCATGGCAACATAAAACAATGGGACAAAATCTTTAAAAATCTGATGGGAAGAAAACATACCCTAGAATTCTATACTCTTAGCCAAATGATATGTGAAGGACCTAAATCTTCATCCATGATAATTATGGATAATGTTAAAAATTCAAGAAATAGGGGCCCCTGGCTGGCTCAGTTGGAAGAGCTTGCGACGAGGCGCCCTGCTTTGTTTTTTTTTGAAGTAATCTTTTCACCCAGTGTGGGGCTTGAACTCAAAACCCTGAGATCAAGAATTGCATGCTCCACCAACTGAGTCAGCCAGGCACTGCAAACGCAGTTTTTTTTTTTATAAAATGTGATAAGCCGAAAGTAATATTTACATGAAATAAAATGGCAAAAATATTTTTAAAAGATAAAAAAAAAGTTAAGGAAGCAGTACATCAAAAATCAAAGCTCATTATAAAATGCTAATAATTAAGATGATGTAGTTTCCTTTCAGGAACAAATAAACCAGTGAAACAGACTAGGGAGGCCCAAAACAGATTCATCCAGGAAAGGAACATAATATACAACAGAAGTGGCATTAAAAGTCAGTAGGGAAAAAATACTCTATTAAAAAATGGTGCCATCAGGGGCGCCTGGCTGGCTCAATCAGTGGAGCATACGGCTCTCAATGCTGGGGTCATGAGTTCAGGCCCCACACTGGGTGTAGAGATTGCTTAAATAAATGAACTTTTTAAAAAAAATGGTGCTGTGGGGCGCCTGGGTGGCTCAGTCGTTAAGTGTCTGCCTTTGGCTCAGGTCATGGTCCCAGGGTCCTGGGATCGAGCCCTGCATCGGGCTCTCTGCTCGGCAGGAAGCCTGCTTCTCCCTCTCCCACTCCCACTCCCCCTGTTTGTGTTCCCTCTCTCGCTGTGTCTCTCTCGGTCAAATAAATAAAATCTTTAAAAAATAAAAAAATAAAAAATGGTGCTGTGACACTTGGTTAATCATTCGAAAAAACAACCAAGTTCAATCCCTATCTCACACCACACATAGGAGGCAGTCTGGGGGTAGATTAAAGGCCTAAATGTATAAAGAAAGGCTGTATAATTTTAGAAGGCAATATACAGGATAGTAATTTTCTGATCCTTGAGTAGGAAAAGATTTTGTACACAAGACATAAAAGAGGCCCAAACCAGATATGAAAAGACTGTATTTTGGACATTAAAATACAAAACTTGGGGGCGCTTGGGTGGCTCAGTTGGTTAAGTGTCTGCTCTGCCTTCCACTCAGGTCATGATCTCAGGGTCCTGGGATGGAGCCCCACGTTGGGCTCCCTGCTCAGCAGGAGCCTGCTTCTCCCTCTCCCTCTGCCCCTCCACCCATGCTCTCGCTCTCTCTCTCAAATAAATAAAATCTTAAAAAAATAAAATAAAATACAAAACTTGTACCCCACAAAAGATAACACCAGGTGAAATGCAAGCCACAAGCCAATGGAAGAGAACTGCAATACATATTAATTAACCATTTCACATCAATCAGACTGGCAAAAATTAAGAGGTCTGACAACAGCAAGCACTGGAAATAATCTAGAAAATAAGAATTCTCATACATTACTGGTGGGAAAATGAACTGGTACAACCATTCCAGAGAGCAATTTAGCAGTATCTAACGAAGATGACAGTGTTCATATTCTAAGTCCCAGCCACTACACACAGACCTACCTAGGTTCAGGGGACAGACTGTATATCCCCAAAATGGCAGTAGCAATTTCTGCTCAAAGTCTTCCAGAACCTTGCCACACCCATCAAAAGGTGGTATCTATTTCTTCTTCCCTTGAACCTGGGCAGGTCTTTGAGATTATTTAAACAAATGGAATGTTGGGGTGCCTGGGTTAAGCGTCTGCCTTCAGCTCAGGTCATGATCCCAGATCGAGCCTTCCACTCAGGTCATGATCTCAGGGTCCTGGGATCGAGCCCCGCATCAGGCTCCCTGCTCGGCGGGAAGCCTGCTTCTCCCTCTCCCACTCCCCCTGCTTGTGTTCCCTCTCTCGTTGTGTCTCTCTCTGTCAAATAAGTAAAATCTAAAAAACAAAGACAAAAACAAAAAACAAATGGAATGGGACAGAAATGATGCCGAAGGATTTCCAGGACACTCTTTCAGAAGGCTGGTCAGTAGCACTCGGTCGTCATGCTTCGAAGAGGCCAAACTAGCCCACATGGAGAAGGAATGCAGCCTTAGTCAACAGCCATCAACAACCAGCCCCCAGCCTTTGAAATTCCAACTGAGGTCCTAGATGTTGCAGAGCAGAGACAAGCTGTCCCCGCTGTGCCCAGTCCGAGTTCCCAGACTACAGAGTCCATGAGCAGAG